GATGAACATACAGCAGGGATGTCAAACTCAAGGCTGGGGGGGGGGGTAAGACCCGGCTCATGGAGTGCTTAGATGTGGCCCTTGGGGCCACCATGGAAACAGCAAAGGACTGGTCCATAGTGCTTCTGCCACTGAAAATAGAGCTCAGGAGGGCTCCATTTTCACTGGCAGAAGGTTGCAGGAGGTTGTCACAGCCAAAAACAAACCTTGGGAGCCCGTTTTTGCTGGCAGAGCACACGGGCAACCATAGGCATCCCCAACATGAATGATGTTGAGTGAGCCATGCCCACCCTGGCCATGCCTACCCCAGCCCTACAAGGTCAAACTCAACCCCGATACAGCCCTCAATGTAATCGAGTTTGACACCTCTGCCATAAAGTCTCTATTGGAAAATTCCAATGAAGAAGAATTCCTCATGTTAGGGGGAAAATGTTTTACTTCTCACCTCTCTCATTAATCTCTTTCTTTCATGACTTTTTACTTTTCCAGCCCCTTTCTGGAACATCTTCCCAACACTGAGTTGCAGGTACACACATAAGGGAAATTAACTCTCATCTGTCAGTTAACAGAAATGGTCTCAAAAGGTATACTGGCTAGAACACAACTCCCTTTTAAAACTAATTATATGGAAGTTAAATGACAGCATATAAGAATTTTATTTTTAAATGTAAGAAAACTTATGGTGTATAATTAGAGCCTGTGCATTTAATTACAACATTCAGCCAAAAGAACTGGTTTTCCAAAATGCCTTGTGTGCATGAATTTAATTTTTAGCCTCATTCATTTCATCCCTAGGATTCCTCTTTTAACAAAATAGTTCAGAGTAAAACAGGCACAAATGCTATTTAACAAAACACTGCCATGTTGCCTTGGCAATTCTTTTGCAGGCACACTTGAATGTGGCTGCGTTCATACAATAAGATTATCTTGATGACTAAATGAACCCACTTGTTAAAATACAGTACACACACAATACATTAAAAGCTTTATACAATGCAGAAACCAAATAGCAAACCAAGGTTAATAATAAGTAAGCTTAGAATGGATGTGTAGTTAATGGGAAGAACAACCAGGGATGATATGATAGCAGTCTTCCAATACCTAAGTGGCTGCCATAGTTAAGAGGGATTGACCTATCCTCCAAAGAACCTGAAGGCTGGGCAAAAAGCAACAGATAGAAACTTATCAAAGACTGATCCAACTAGAATTAAGAAGATATTTCCTGACACTTAGAACAATTAATCAGTGGAACAGCTTGCCTCTATTACTGGAGGCTTTTAAGGAAAGAGTGGACAGCCATTTGTCTGAAATGGTATGGATCTCCTGCTTGAGCAGGGGGTTGGACTAGAAGACCTCCAAGAGCCTTTTTAACTCTGTTACTCTGTGTTGTGAATATATCTTGTAAGCCTTTAAGCAGGTATGTCAACACATTTGATACCCGCCCAAAATAAGCATTGTTCTTACTAGTCCCCTTTCCGGGGAGGAGGTAGGTAAGGAGAGAGAGAGAGAGGCAGAGGCAGAGGCAGAGAGAGAGAGAGAGAGAGAAAGAGAGAAAGAGAGAGAAGGGTGGGGAATAGAGACAGAGAGCTGTCATTCTGGCACAGCAAAAATAGCCACATATGTGTTACTGGAGATATTGTGGAATCTCCATGCAAGCAACTTTGAGCTTCTATTTAAAAAGTGTGTGAGAGATGATAGATAGATGATAGATAGATGATAGATGGAGGAGATAGATAGATAGATAGATAGATAGATAGATAGAGACAAAGAGATAGCATTTATCTATACTACAAAGAGATACAGCATCCATCAATACAAATGATAAAACATCNAAAAATCTAATAGATACCTTTCACCCTAGCTTCGCTGATAATGGATAAGAACCCAAAGTGCCCAAAATGCATCCAACCCCCCCAAAATGCAAAGCCCGCACCCCTCCCACACATGCATGTGCAACCCCCCTTGTCTTCCCTCTGTGCATGCATGTGTGTCCTCCCGCATGTCTCCCCGCTGCATATATGCCAGAGACTTGAAGACCAGCTGGCTGAGATGCATGCACATGCGTGGCAGAACTTAACTGGGGCAACGGCTCAAGTGCAATCAGAGATGGTGCTGCATGCCACTTCTGGCACATGTGCCAAAGATTTGCCATCATGGGTGTAGGTTTTTCTGCTTCAGTAGGGTGTTGAATTAAAAGACCTCCAAGGTCCTTCCCAACTCTCTTATTCTGTTATTTTGATAATCAAAATCCTGAATTCTGGAATATTTAATATAAGAATGCAAAAGATCAAGAAGCAAGTGAAAAAATAATTTAATTTCTGTGTCTGCTGACTGAAAAAGGCCAAGGAGACTTTAAATTTTAGCTGGAATGATTCATTTTACCTCCCAGAGAAGTAAATTCCATTTGAAAATTGAAGTGTTTCCCAATCATTTCATTCTGGAGCTTGTAGACTACCAGTGTATTACATTTTACTTTCCTAAGATAACATAATATACTGTTTCTCAGTGCTTGGCAATTGATGCACAGTTATTGCTCAACAGAGTGCTTAAATAACATTTTTTCCTTATTATCATTTTTATTTGTTGTTTCAGTGGAATAGTCATCGTAAGTGAATAAATGATACAAACCTCCAGAATTATGGATGTGCAATGATAACACAAAGAAGTTTAATACAGCACCAGTAATGCACAACTCTGCTAATGGGCTTTTAAAATCCATTTTCATTATCTGTTGCACTGCATTTTTGTCATTGTTGAGAATGGATTCAGAAAATACTTCTCAAAAGGTATAGTGATTTAGCAGAGGATAAACAGTAGATCTCCATAAAGCTGGTTGCTAAGTCACCAATGAGCAATCTTTACTTCTTTTCTTGTCACAATCTGGCTTTGGATCACAAAAGAGTCCTAACAATATATCAATACAGATGAAATGAAACAGATGAAAATTGGACTTAGAATAAATAAGAAACTAAGTGGAGCTTGTATAGAATGAAAAAAAATATACATGCTGACCTATGCATTACAAAATGGAGGTGTCAGAACCTCTCCATTAGATAATTAGGAAAGAAGACCACGAGACTNCAGGGGTGTTCAAACTTGACAGCTTTAAGACTTGTGGACTTCAACTCCCAGAATTCCTCCTCTCGCTCTTCATCTTGAAGATGTGCGGACGGGCGGGGGGGGGAGGTAGCTGGAACTAGTTCTAAACGGCACTGTAGATTTGTGGAACCTCTTCTATGGAAGAGGTTAGAACTGGCAGGAACCCACCCCTGTTGGCAACTGACCCATAGTTATGATAGTTGCAGTGTCCCAGGGTTGTGTGCGATCACCTTTTGCGATCTTCTGACAAGCAAAGTCAAGGAGGAAGACAGATTCACTTCACAACCATGTCATTAACTTAACAACTGCAGTGATTCATTTAACAACTATGGCAAGAAAGGTTATAAAATGGCGAAAAACTCACATAACAACTGCCCTGCTTAGCAACAGAAATCTTGGACTCAACTGTAGTTGTGAGTTGAGGTATATCTGTATTGTTATCTCAGGGAGGTTCGTTTAGCAACTATGGCAAGAAACGTCATAAAATGGGCCAAAATTCACTTAACAACTGTCTTGCTTAACAACGTAAAATTGGGGCTCAATTGTGGTTGTAAGTCAAGGACAACGTGTACATAGATGCCTCATTTGAAATGAAGGGGCTTGATAGAATCCTTTGATTAAAATTTTCGTCTTCCTTCCCATAAAGTCTCTCCATGCTGGACATTTCTTCCTTTGCCTTAATATTTATGTATGTGCAAATGCAGTATGAATCCTCAGTGACTAAAAGCATATTCATATTACTTTCCAGAATGTTTATTTTAAACAAATATGCTTAATGGCATTTGTTCCATTCAAAGGCTATATTCCTTTTTCCAAGGAAGGCAAATGCAAGCATGAGTTCTAATACCCTTTTCAATTATGAGAACTGCTTTTATTACTGCAGAGGTTATTAACAACAATAATAACATCCATATTTCATGCAGGAGAGTGGCTAAGAATTACAAATTGAATAAGTATTAATAAAACCTATGCAAGTTATATGAGAGGACTGGATGTCCATGAACAAATATTATTTAAAACTTTAGGATTAAAAAAAAAAAAGATTAAAATCTACCATTCAACGAAGCAGAGAATTTAAAAGGGAGCTGATAATTTTTCTCTAGCTTGGAGTGCCATTTTATTTATTTATTTATTTATTTATTTATTTATTTATTTATTTATTTATTTATTTATTTATTTAATTAATTATTGAATTAATTAATTAATTAATTAATTTCATACCGAAAGGCTTTAAGTAGTATAGCAATGATGTCACAGGTGGAAGTACAGCTAATATGTAAACATCTTTTTTTTTGGTTTCTGGGGATTATCAGGATAGTTTAAAACATAATAGCCCATGATGCCATCCTGATGTATCTGTTTTAGAACTTAATTGAACAAATAAAAAAAATATTTTATTTCCCCAGACATAGCGTGTACATATGTTTGTATTAGAGATAGTATTCTATCGGTTCGGACGGGTTCACCTGAATTAGTAAGGGAAATTGCGGCTGGCCCCGCCCACACGCCCCGGCTCCATGGCATCCCATTTAGGCCCCTTTTTTTCACCAAAAGTACGCGCTCACATTTGCGAACCTGTAGGGAAGGTAAGTGAATATCACCCCTGGTTTGTGTGCATGCGCGCAGGTGTGCATGTGCGCATGCATTTAAGGGCCACAGAAATGGATCTGTATCTGTATCTACCTAGATACAAATTGCTGACTTAAAGTTTCTCATTAACAAACTCATTTTAAAAAAATATGGGTGAGGCTATTTATTTGGTTGGCTTTAACAGGTGATAAACAGATTCTAATTGGGGTTTGATAAAACCATAATCATTACCGATCATTGCACATCATGGATCTAGGAAAAGACATTTTAATTATCAACCGAAATCCACGTTTTCTCTTCTTCATTTTTAGGAGTCCAGATTTATTAGGATCCATAAAGTCATAGCGGTATCCAACTTCACCATGAAGGAATCAGGCTTGCAGCCATCTAAGGTGTTCTTAGAGGCACTTAATAGCTTGCCCCTGGAGTACAACTATCCCCTTTACAGCCGGATATTTGATGATTTTGGCACACATTACTATTCCTCTGGGTCATTGGGAGGCAGATACGACCTCCTTTATCAGTACAGTGCTGAAGAGCTGAGAAATTCAGGTATATGATCCTTAGCAAAAGAAGATGGGGACCTATTACTGGGCCAGTATGTACGTAATGTAACTAAGTTGGGAATGGAAAAGTTGCCTTATCCTTTCACTGTGCAGCATTGCAATTCATCCTTTTCTTTCTATGGGTCATTTTAGTGAATAGGGGGTTGGACTAGAAGACCTCTAAGGTCCCTTCCAACTCTGTTATTCTGAGAGGATTAAAAGAGAAGGGAACCAAAGTCTGAAAAACACATCCAGTTTTGGAGAACACAAGGCATAGAAAAATGGAAGGCATGTGAAAGGATAACATCTGTGAGGGGTCCTTGGTGGTCTCTGATCTTGCTTGTTTTCTTGCAGACATTTCATTATAGCTGACCAGCTGCTGTTAGGCTGTAAACTAAGATGATGAAATGTGGATGAGTCAGCAGGGTTACTGCCACTTTAAGAAGTTGTATATATAAGGGAGGCCATGTGAGGGCATCTCTCTCTCTCTCTCTCCTCGTATATCTCTCTCCTTGTGTATCTCCATATAGCTATTAGATTGATTGCTTGCCTAGTATTTGCCTAAAGTGTGTGTGTGTGTGTGTGTGTGTGTGTGTGTGTGTGTGTGTGTGTGTGTGTGTGTGTGTTGTACATAAACCACTGTTTAAAGACAAAACCTCTGTGTACTGTATTTTGCTCCTGGGTTGTTTCAAAATAGTAGTCACACTGTGCGCACTCTGACAGGTTATGGGCCCAGTACAGAGAGAAGGTCAGAGTGACTAGAGAGACCAGAGAGAAGAGAAATCCAATGTGAGTTTGCACCAGAACCAGTGGAGTTGTGCAATGTGGTTTGATAGTGGTTAGTAGGTTGTGAAAGAAAGCAGGCAAAAGGTCCTCTGTTGGCATAATGGGAAGAGGTTTCTTGGTGTCTCGGCTGAATGAGACAAACTATCTCTCCTGGAGTGTAAAGATGGAGATGTACCTACGAAGGGAGGAGCTGTGGACAATAGTTACTGATCCACCAGCAGTCCTGGATGATGGGGATCCTGACACATTACATGGACTAGATACAGAGGTGGGTTGCTCCTGGTTTGGCTGAACCAGTAGTGGTGTCGGCAGCAGGCTTTGCCCACCCACCCAGATGCTTCTGTGCATGAGCAGAAGCGTTGCACGCGCACACATGAACCGGTAGCACCGAGATTTGCAACCCACCTCTGACTAGATAGTATCATCAGTGCTAGTTACTTGGTTGGATACGTTTTTAAGATCTTTATTACGGTCAAAGACCAGCAATATACATTTGTTTTAACACTATATTAAAAATACTAACATTAAAATATAATTAAAAGTATTTACATTAAAAATGGATAATAACATTATGGTCCAAAGATTGTTAAAGGTATGTCCAGATAATTGGTACAAGATGGTACTATACTGTAGCCAATTTTTTTCTTATGGACATTGCAGCAGCACAGAACTTTGCCACTGCATACGTGGTAACCNAACTAATCAAGGAGAGAAGCAACCTAGAACTAAGGAGAAATTTCCTGAGAGTTAGAACAATTAATCAGTGGAACAACTTGCCTGCAGAAGTTGTGAATGCTCCAACACTGGAAGTTTTTAAGAAGATGTTGGATAACCATTTGTCTGAAGTGGTGTAGGGTGTCCTGCCTAAGCAGGGGGTTGGACTAGAAGAACTCCAAGGTCCCTTCCAACTCTGTTCTTCTATTCTATTCTAGATCTGTAATTATAGCAACATTCCAGCTGTCGACCTTCATAAACCAAGAAAGATACTTTCGGATTCTCTAGCCAGTTTTCTTTATTATTCCTCTTCGATATACAGAAGTCTTGACAAATTAAAGCAGTCTACGTCCATCTACCTGGAACTAATAGAGAGAAGCTGTCTTCACCCTCTTCCTCCTAAACAAGCTATCTAGTTTTTTTTATTGTAAGCCACCTAGAGTCATTGACTGAGATGGGAGGCTATAAAAAGACTGAGTGAGTGAGTGAGTGAATGAATGAACTATGATATTTCTTGCTTCTCTGGAACGTACTCCCTCATACCCTCCCTCCATTTTAGGAATACAGGCAATATTACATCCTATTCCCCTAAGTCTTGTTTTTGACTCTTTACTGCTAGGTTCAAAGTGAGAGCTTGAGTTCTGAGATAGAGATTAATTGCCAAGCTTTGATGTGGCAGAGGTACATACTTTCTATATGGAAGGCCATAGGAATCTCCAAGTAGGACTGCATATACTTCTGTTGGTCAACCAGTAAAAATTGTATTGAGCTAAATAACCAATTATCTCATGTTCCTGGGAAGGTCAGATGGACTGTGGTTAGAATGCAGTACTGCAGGCTATTTCTGCTGATTACTGGCTGCCAGAAGTTTGGCAGTTCGGGTTTCACTGGCTCAAGGTTGATTCAACCTTCCATCCTTCCAAGGTTGGTAAAATGAGGACCTAGATTATTGGGGGAAATATGCAGACTCTGTAACCCGCTTAGAGAGGACTGTGAAGCTCTGTGAAATGGTACATACAGTAAGTCTAAGTGCTATTGCTATCAGACCGACTGTTGACGTATAGTAATGACTAGTAGTATTTCAACATAGAGTGTACGAAGAAAACGGTCAGGCCTAAAAACCAAGACACTTGGAGATTCTTCCAAGCAGATTTGACTGTTCTTACCTATAGATAGAATCTTGCCAAACTAAAGTACTCTACTATTTATTTCAAACATATATTCTGAGAACTGTTTCACCCTCTTTGTCTATAACTAAACTGAAGACTGAGCCACTTCGGAAATTCACATCCTCCCTTCTCAGGCTCTATCTCCTTACTACATTCCATCTCAAAAATTCAACATCCAGTGTTATTAACATGTTTTCTATTAAGAAAGTATTCTCAGTTCAATCTTTAGCAATCATCTATCCAAGAATCTTAATAACTAAAATGACTAGCTTAGAATTTGAACAAGGGTGATTAAGCTTATGAAATAATACTTGGCTATATCTGGGATCCACTGCATGTTATATGTCATGTTAAAACAGTCTGTTAACACCTTATTCTCATCATCAAATGAGACATAAATATAAAGTATAGCTATGTATCTAGAACCGTGGTGGTGCAGTGGTTGGAATGCAATATTACAGGCTAAATCTGCCGACTGCCAGGAGTTCAATCCTATTGCCTCAAGGTTGACTTAGCCTTCCATCATTCTGAATTGTTGTAAACAGCCTAGAAAGGGCTGTGAAGCACTATGAAGCAGTATATAAGTCTAAATGCTATTGTTATGTACAAAAAAGGAAGCCAAGGAATTCATTTCTGCACCTGAAGGAACAATTTGCTATATACAGTGGAAAAAACAACTGTGACACTCACTTTATTACAAGGTGGTGAAGGTCATGTATGAATGATATAGTATAATCATATTTCCAGCCGTCTCTAGCTGTCCACCTCTCCATTAAATCCCAAGAGAGGGAAAAAATATAGGAAGGGGGATCCTTCTCATTTTCCTGACTTGAAAACGTTGCTGTTTCCCAAGTAATGAAAAGCATGCATTTGAAAACAATATTGGTAATATTGTATTATCAACAATGAAGTATATTAAAGATACACCCCTGTGCAGAAGTAAATGTTAGAAATTCTTGAGAATCAATGTTGAAAATGAGAATCTACCTTCTTAGCCATTTTTCACTATTATCCTCATTCCAACACTGCAGTGGTGGGTTTCAAAAAATTTTCAAGCCTACTCTGTGGGTGTGGCCTCCTTTGTGGGAGTGGCTTGCCATCCATGTGTTTTTTCTCTCTCTCTCCCTCCCTCCCTCTCTCTCTCCTTCCTTTTATCTCTCTGTCCCTTTTTCCTTTTTTCTTTCATCTCTCTCTCACTTTTCTTTCTTTTTTCTTTTTTTCTTTATTTATTTCTTCCTTTCTTTCTCTTTCTTTTTCTCTGTGTGAGTCTGTCTGTCTGTCTGTCTGTCTGTCTGTCTGTCTGTCTGTCTCTCTCTCTCTCTCTCTCTCTCTCTCTGTGTGTCAGTGGTGGGTTTCAAAATTTTTTGGAACCTCTTCTGTAGGTGTGGCCTGCTTTCCGGGTCCACTGGTGGAACCTCTTCTAACCGGTCCGATAGATTTGACGAACCGGTTCTACCGAACTGGTGCGAACCGGTAGGAACCCACCTCTGCAACACTGAGATGCCAATACATTTCCTATTTTGCAGCCTTTATCTCCCCAAGAAAAAAAAAGTGACATGTTCCTGTAAAAATTATAGTTGTAAACGTGTTGGTGGCATTCATATAGCCAGTAGAATATTGTTGGCTTGTGCAGTGTAAGAAGCGTAGATGAAAGGGGGTGGGGAGGGATGCATGTTTTCCAAGCAGGAGAAACACAAACCCATTAGGGAACGAAATATTCTTTTCAACCATTTAAGAGGCAATCCAAAAACACAGAGAAACAAAAACCACCCCCAAAAACCCCTGACCAAAAGGGAAGCAAATTCCATTTCCAGCTTCTTCCAAAACTGAGATGAAAAGAAACAATAGAGGCATATTTTTTTCTCCTTCTCAATGTTTGTTTGCTGTCGTGAAATTCAATCATTGTAGGCCAGTATTTTCAGAGAAAGGGCATTTTCACATGTGCAGCTGTGGCTAAATAGACTTTGTTTTGCCTGGATAGCTTCGCTTCGTTTGGATTTCTGGCCAGCAAACGCAAAGAGCTCTTGTTTTATTGAGGACCACCAAGGATGACACCAAGGCTGTCTGATACTTTAGGAACATGACAATGAGATCAATGTAAAAAATGAAAACAGCACCATTCGCAAAATGCACACAGATCAATATTCTTGTAAGCCATAAAATACCCCGTGGCACAGGTGGCATGCGAGCTCAGCTTATATTCAGGCCTTCTGGGCCCACCAGAAGTCGGGAAACAGGCTGTGTTCGGTCTCCCGGGAAGTGGGAAGGCCATTTTTGCCCTCCCCAGGCTCCTGGAAAGATTCTGGAGCCTAAGGAGGGTGAAAAACAGGGCTTCCAG